GGGGGGGGGGGGGGGTGATAAAGAGAGAGAATCTTAGTATTTTAATAGTATATTTGATCTGATAGCTTAGTGTTTCTGGGTTTGTACTTAGTACTTAGCAATTTGCATACATACTGGTGTCTTGACTTAAGTAACTTTTTTTGAAAAAGTTCTCTAATATGCTTTTATTCTTGATACTTGGATGAGTCAATTACAATAAGAAACAAGAAAAGTAATCATACGCTAATAATTGGATTTATCAAATTTTTTTAAATTACTGAATAATATAGTTGAAATTTGATACCAGTCAAGCAGGTGCAGGTTCGTTTGTCCTACTTTCATCTGGAAATGACTGTTTTATTAGCAACTTGTTCTAAATATGCAACAAAATTTTATTCCCTTCTACTCATTTTGTGGAGATCCGATATAACTTCTGTTGTCTAATTTGCCTGAGAAGTGTCCAAGTTTGAGTATACTAATCGTAAGACCGTAGTAACTCATACATAGTGATTTACTTGGATCAATTCATTTCATGAGAATATATATAGAAAGTGGTATTGATATTATAGTTTTATTGTCTTTTGTAGTTTTGTCATCTCTGTTCGCTCTTATTTTTTCTGTTGAACATTACAAACCTTCCATTGCCATTCATTTTCATTAATTATAGGTGGTTTCCTACAACTTTAATCGTTAGTTCAAAAGGCAGCCCAGTGCACTAAGCTCCCGCTGTGCGCGGGGTTCGGGGACCACAAGGGTCTATTATTAGGTCAATTGCATTTTGATGACTCGCTTACTTCAGAATGATGCTGTAGAGTCAAGGAGCTGCCTCAACACAAGACAATCAAACTAGTTCAAGGAGATATCTTCAGGATGACTAGCTGAACGCGAAAAAACAGATTAACAACAACAACAACAACAAATCCAGTAGTATCTTACAAGTGGGGTTTGGGGAGGGTAAGATATACGTAGCCTTACCTTTATTTCTGGAAGGGCAGAGAGACTGTTTCCGATAGACCTTCGGCTAGAGAACAACTGAAAAAGAAAAGGTAATTGCAACAAGTACGAAAAAACAGATTACAGAGAGAAAAAGGCAGTAGAGTCGTATTTCATTTCACTGATATAAAAATGGTAAAATTATAGTTTTTATACAGTGGTTTTACAAGATTTAGCAGCTATCAACTACCACTACTAACTCCCGTTTGAAGTTTATGGGTCGCTACAACGATCTCATGTTAGCAACTAGGTTTACAATCAAATATTAATGAAATTTTGAATATATATACAAGGACTGTTCTATTAACAACTAGCTCCAAGGCTCCCATTCTAGTAACAAACTTGTACAATGTGATCAATTTGAGAACTCATATGCTGCATTCTCAGTATTTACATAAGGGAAAAGAAGAGTTCCCCGGCACAGCATAACTAAGCTTCATTGTTAGGTGATGAACTAAACTCAGTATCCAGTCCATATACCTCATGTGCATGTAGGGAAATATGTTGGACTCAGAGGCGGACCCAGGATTTGAGCACGATGGGGGCACTATTGTATGCTAATCAACAACGATTAAAAAAGAATNATTGACTATTGTGTATTAGTACTAACTATAAATGAAATAAAAAAAAGTAATTTGTTATTAAATATAAATTATATTGCATCCAAAGAACTAAAATATTAATAAAGTTGACTATTATATATTAGTACTAATTTATAATTGAATTCAAAAAAAAAAGTGATAAAAGTAAAAGATAAAGCAATTTGCTATTGAATATAAATTACATTATACTCACAGAATAAAAATAAAAAGGAGGAGAAAAAGCTGAAGGGGATTTCGTTGGGAATTTAAGGGCCCAAAGCAACCACTTCTCCTATCCATCTCTTTGTTTTAGGAGGCACACTTGAAATATTTAAGTGGTCCCATATATTTGTACATATATATATTATATGTATATACAGGGTTTTTGCCGAGGCTAACGGGGTCACGTGACCCCTCAACCCACCACGTAGATCTGCCTCTAGTTGAACTTGGGAGCTGTATCACTAGGACTATGTAGTGTGCGAGTTCTATCGAATATATTTTATTTTGTGCTAGCTAGGTGAAATTGCCTACCTTTACTGGGGAAGGTTATAAGTTATGCAATATGCTACAAATCTGAAGTCTATTCTTTTAAAACCATGTTAAAGCCTGGAAAGAAAGAAAAAATGAATGGAGCATTTGCTCGTAGAAATCATGAAGAGCGAAAATTATTGCATTTTCTTTCTCTTTTAGAAATTTACAGCACCTATGAAATGGATACAGAAGTATACATGATCCTTACCAGAATGTACAAAAAATGGGATAGAAGAAAAGCAGTATACTCAATCCTTTGGGAAGCTGCAGTTTTGAGAGAACTGCCAAGAGGCTCTGAACTAGGAAATGGCTTTTGCATCTGACTAAAAAGGGCAGCCCGATGCACTAAGCTCCTTCTCTGCGCGGGGTCCGGGAAAGTTCCGGACCAAAGGAGTCTATTGTACGCAGCCTTACCTGCATTTCTGCAAGAGCTGTTTTCACGGCTCGAACCGTGACCTCATGGTCACATGACATCAACTTTACTCCCCTTCGGCTTTTGCGTCTGACTATATTTGAAAATCTGTGAACTACTTGCTAAACCTGGAGTTGTATGCTGTGAACTCCTGAGTGATGAATTATTGCAAGAAGAAGATGGAAAAGAGTATTGGGAAGCTGCTATTGACAAAGCCATATCTTTCTGTTTTGGCATTTTGGGTAATGATATACTCCTAGTATGGACACAACTGCTTGGTTGTTCTCCCTTCTGTTTGTGCAATGCACAACTGCAGTTTTTATGGTAAGGCCGTCGCTCCTTATCTATGTCTGACATCGACAAGCTTCTATCAAAGACACACTGAAGCATCATTTCAGCTGCTCCGGTTGCCATTCTCTTCTCTCTCTTCTTACCTGCTATAAAAAATATCTAAAGGTTTTTTGAAAGTGAGGCAATGTGACACTTGATAATTTCTCTGTCTATGGGCGTCTGTGATGTCAATGTAGTTATTTTGAACATTTTACAAATTTTTGCATGGGTTTATATAGTGTAACGACCCGACCGGTCATTTTGAACTTTTGCACTTTGCTCACTAATTCTCGGGCATGACTTGCCACGTGTGATGTATTATGACCTATATAAATTGTTGGTTTTGGTTTTCAAGGTAATCGGAATGAATTTGGAAGAACAGTTCTCAGTTTGAAGCTTGAAATTTGAAAGGTTTGACCGAGATTTGACTTGTTGGTATATGATCTCGGATTGAAAATTTTATGATTTGGTTAGCTCTGTTAGGAGATTTGGGAATTGGGAACGGGATCGAAATGCATTTTGGAAGCCCGTCGAAGGTTTTTGCTTAAATTGGCGAAATTGAGATTTTGTCGTTTTCCAGTTGGTAGATGAGATTTTGATATAGGGGTCGGAATGGAATTCTGGAAGTTGCAGTAGCTTTGTTGTGTCATTTGTGATATGTATGCAAACTTCAGGTCATTCGGACGTGGTTTGGCTGGATTTTTGATCAAAAGCGAAATTTGGAAGTTCTTGAAATTCTTAGGCTTGAATCCGATGTTATTTTGGTGTTTTAATATTGTTTTGAGAGTTCTGAAGGTTGGAACAAATTTGAATGAAGTTATGGGATGTGTTGGAATGTTTTGTTGAGGTCCCGAGGGCCTCGGCTGAGTTTCGGATGGTTAAACGGATCAATTTTGGACTTTAGACTTGGCAGTTTTTGCTGGTTTTGTGTTGCAGACAAATTGTTCTTTGCATTTGCGATCAGGGACTCGCGTTCGCGAAGGGCATTTTTATATGTTGATATTTTTGTTCTATGCGTTCGCGAGGAAGGGGACGCGGACACGAAGGTGGGTCTTCATGTGCATCGCGGATGCGAGACTAGGGTCGCGTTCGCGAAGAAGAGTAAGGTCATGTACATGTGCATCGCGGACTGAGACCCTTAGGGGCATTTTTACTATTTTTCCTCGCTCTATTTGTTTTGAAAGCATATCCTCAGTTAGGGTTTACCTGTTTATTGTCTAAATCTGGTTTTATCACTTTACTTCTTAAAATGTGAAAACT